AAGCTGACAAGACGTTGTCAGCATGCCATCCGTCATGGAGCATACCAACAAGCTACTAAGAGACATAAGAGATGTGATCAAACTGCTTTCTGAATGCATGCTTTGCACTAAAGCCGCTAAAGTTCTCACCCAGCAATCGGATGCCTCTATTCACTCGGCACCTGCGATCGCAATCGCATGCTACGTCTGAACCACCCGAACTTTCAAGCTTGCAAGCGCGATCGGTGCCACATGAGGCAACGGTCTCACTAAGATCACGCTAAGTTTCACTTCATCAGCATTTGGTCCATCAACTTGAAAAGGTCGCACAGGTTTTGCTGATAGTCTTGTGACCTCGTTTGGCTTTCTCAGCGATCTGATGCTCAGCCGCAGAATTAACAGCACAGCACCGGCACAGCGAGTGAGTGGTTCATGACGCTTCACGGACAGTTTCTGGAATCTGCTGCCACGCTCTTTCAGACAGGTCGTGGTACCAAGCATGACGATCTCGTAGTATTCTTTTGGGGCTGCTATGCCCTCAAATTGCATGATGCATCCGTTGTCGGTCAGCTTCCAATATCTTCCAACGCAAAGAGACATGCTAAAGCCATCGGTCTCCTCGTAGGTGAGCATATGTGAGGATCTGGCCACCCACGGCATCCTTATCACACGAAACGCAACCCTAGTGACCCTAGTGCTCTTGCAAGCAGAGCCGGCTTGTGCTGAGTTCTTCGCCTCCGTGCAAAATTTTTGCCAGTCTGACAGTCTAACGAACATTCATTTTGCAGCCCCTGCAGCGGGTGAAGTGTCATGGCGCGTTTCCAAGGTCTCCGAAAGATCCCATTTGCATTTTACCGCAGTGGCACGTCGAGAGGCCTCTTTCTGTTGGAGAGCGACGTGCCGCCAAGTGGCAAAACGCGGGATGAGCTGCTATGTCGGCTCATGGGAAGCGGGCATCCGCAGCAAATCGGAGGCTTTGGCGGTGGCTGTGGTCCCACGAGCAAGGTTGCAGTTGTGGGTCTGCACTCGCAGCCCAACTCTGTGACGTATTGCTTTGCTCAGTGTGGCGTCAGCTCTGCCGAAGTTGACCATTCACATGGTGATTGTGGCAGCTTGGCTTCACAATGTGCTCGTTTTTCGCAGCACTCAGTGCATGCAACCTGCGCCGCTGCTGCGGCAATCGAACGCGCATGAATGCACAAGCTACGATGTCCTTTTAGTTTGTCCATGGCAGAAGTCTTGAATTCCCTTTGTCGGTTTCCAGAAGCCTGGCCTAGGCAATATGCTGGCAGCAGTGGCGCCCTTTGCTTTGGAGAAGGGACTGTTGAGCTCGGATGCATTGGCGCCCCAGGCCGGAGAGTCTGCAGTACAAAAAGTAACCATCCACAGCCTTAACACGGGTGCGACCTACGAAGCACTCGTGCCCATGACGGCCACCAGCGACTCCAGCGACGGCGACGCCGGTCAGGTTAAGAGAGCTGTTTCTGTTCAGTACAGCGGCGATTTTGAGGTTCCGGGAATTCCAGGAGGAGCTGCTCCAGTGCAACTTGCTTCCCTGGGTGTTGCAGGCTCGCAGACGGGCAAGCTTCTGCCCACGGGGAGAGCCAAAGATTTTTTCAGGGTTGGTACTTACACAGACCCGGTGGCTGTCACCCTGATCGATTTCGCAAGGGCTTTGGTGGTGGTGCATGCGGAGGAGGTGCTGCCAAAGTTCGGGTACAGAAGCTTGGATGATCTGTCCATCTCTCAGGTCGAGCAAGACACCATTCTATGTACGTTTCTTGAAGACCTCCGCTTGCAGGCTGGCCTCGCTATGGGCATGGGTGACTGTTCTGGTCATGATGCCCCAAAGTTGGCTATCGTGGACTCTGCGGGCGGAAGTCGGGGACAGCTAGGTGCAGCTTTCGCCTGCCGTTACTTCGTGCAACCTGGAAGACGCGAGATGCACCCCACCATCGCCATGACAGCTGCTCAAGCATTGGGTGCAGCCAGCCTTGTGGAGGACAGCGTTGCAAGAACGGCACTCGATCGACGTCCTGAATCAGATGCAAACGCGCCCGACGTCTTCACTTTCTCAATTCAGCATGCGAAAGGTACTTTTCCCGTGAGCATCGGCACCCAGCCAGCCTCAGCAGATGAGAGTGCTACATTTAGTTTCGGCGTCCCCTATGCTGGAAGGTACACCACGACTGTAATGCCGATAGCAGAGGGCACGGCTTTCATTGGCAGCTGAGAGCATCAACTTTGGGTTCGCTTCTCTTGCCGATGCCGCCTTCATGCTGACAAGGGTATGTCGGGCAACGTGGTTTCACGCGAGGCTCTGCGTGAGTCAGAGAAGGCTGCGCAGCCTCTAGGATACAAGCTGTTCCAATCTGTTGAGTTGCGAAGTAGCCAAGTTTTACATCTAGCTGCTCCGGACATCAGGATACTGTTCTTGACGGTTTAGCGTGCGGAGTGCTGTGCCCTCGGCTCGAAATTTCTGCAGCGAAGCAGCACCGACATCGACAGACATGTCTGCGCACCAGAGCCCATGCAACAGAAGATCTCTTCTAGGATTTAGGGCAGCAACACGTGCTGACTCTGATCATGGCGCCGCGCTTTCGATCCCGTGGTTACTGAGAGATGTCATCACGGAACCAGGCTGGTAATGGGCGACTTGCCTGACGAAACTGCATTTGACCTCCCGGAAGCAACATCCGAGTATTCAGATGAAGCACCAAATAGCCCCAATAGCCCCAAGAGTCCAGAGGCAGGGTCTACAAAGGGTGACCTCAAGCGGTCCTTGCTTCGCAAAGTTGCCCAGCTGACAAAAGTCGTCGTGCACTTGAACTCGAAATCCGATGAGCAAGAGCTGGAGCATGCCAGACTGAGCAACGACGCAGAGGCCAAGATCCAGAAGCTCTACGAAGATGCAGCTCAAGTAATGCAGGGCGAATCCGCGAAGCTGGAAGAGGTTGCAAGCAAAACATGCTTACAGGACAACTCAGCACGCTTAGAAAGCCTTTTCGGACAGCAGAGGGCCGAGTTGGCTGCAGAGATTCGCACCTTGAAAAACATGGCAAAAGGCAACCAGGCGTGTGCCGTTGCCAAAGTTGACTCGGACCTCTGTGTTTCGATACAGCAGATCCGCGACATCTCTCAGAGGATTCGCCAGAGTTTGGACGCTTACAGGCAAACTTTGAAGCGTCGTGCGGCAGAGATGGAGCAGCGGAACGAGGTCTCCGACTTGAGAAAAGGGGCAGACATGGAGAGAGAGAGAGAGAGTTCCCTCTCTCATCCCTAGGAGAACGAGACAACAATCGAAAGGAACTGCATTCTCAAGAGATACCCATCAAAAAACGTACTACCGGGTTCAGCGACAACGGTCTCGGTCTTGCATCGATTGGGTCAGGCTGTCTCGTAGCTGTGGTTGCTTTTTGTGGCCGTGGACAGCTGGCATTCTCTATCACTGCAACAGAAAACCGTTCTATGCTTGTGAATGTTGGGTTGAATCTTGCGTAGTCGTTGCTCTTTTTCATGAAAGCTTGCTCGCTCCTCTCTGTCTGTCTGTCTGTCTGTCTGTCTGTCTGTCTGTCGTCTGTCTGTCTGTCTGTCTGTCTCTCTGTCTGTCTGTGTGTGTGAGTGCGTTTGTGTGTCTATGTAACTCGTTTCTTCGTTTGGTGGACGAGAGCCAAAGACGACGCCCAGTTACCTGTTCCTATATGTGTGAACAACCGAACAGATTGGCACAGAGATCGCACAGAGCATAGTTATGGCCTTGTCGATGCCCGTTTTGGAAGTAGAGGGTCAAAGAACCAGGTGCTCCGGCAGGACCGCGCGGCTGAATTAAGGTGCGTGGAAAACGACTTCCAGCAGAGGCTCGAGGAACTCGCCGGGTCACTCAGACGAGAAGCAGACCACGTACGGCAATCAACTGAGCAGCAGATGATGCACATGAAGCGGATGCATGAGGCCGAGACGAGCTCCTGGCAGATGCAAGTCTTGCAGAAACGTAATGAGCGAATCCAGCGTTTGGAGCAGGAGTTCGGCGATGAACGGCGCATGCGCGAGCAGTCAGCGACCAACTTGGATTACGAGCTCATGCAGCAGCGCAAGGACCTTCTGGATTTCAAGGCCTCCTATCGCTTGGTGGATCAGCAGGTAGAGGCTATGCGAGGCACGCTGGAGGAGATGCGGCAACGAGTGCGCACAGCCCAGGCAGATGCCGACGCCGCGCGCGAAGAAGCCGCCCAAGCGGAAGCTGACACTCAAACCTTGGCAAAGGAAATCGCATTGCTTGAGGTGCGAAGGAGAGCTGCTGGGATTCCAGCTGGGGTCGTCGTGCCCCCCAGTAAGTCTTTTGCACCTAAGCCACCCAGGGCTCTGCCTGGTTTGACAGATGAGCTCAGGGAGTCCATTGCAAGCACCAAGCAGCTGGAAGCCGAAATTGCCCAAACAGACGCTCACCTGGGCGATTTAGAGGACGAACTTGCAGAGAAAGACAAGACCGTTGAAATCCTCGAAGTTGAGACGGAAGAGGAGCGGTTGAGGACTCATCGGCTTCAAGCAAGAATCCTCCAGCTGGAGGCTTCCCTGAAGACGTGAACAGTCACCGGGTTGTGTTGCAGCTCTTAGCGTCTCAGCGCACGTGTTTCGCGAATCCGGCGAATCCTGCGCACCCATGCGCCCAGCGCCTGCCAAAGCCCACCGAAGTTGTTTCACCGTCCAAATTGCCGTGACCGTGTGGAGGCAAGCGCCCCAAAAGAGCCTCATGAAGCTTCGATCAAGACCAGCACATCTTTCGCAAACTTCTTAACCTCGGTGTCATCATGCCTCCTGTGCTAGGTGACTTGAATTTGGTCCCTTTTGAAGGGCAGAACTCGCAGCCTGGGTTTGCGAATGTTGATGGCAAAGGTATGGGCTCTTGCTCGCTCAGCCTCAAATTCGGGGTGGTTGAATTGGGTCATGCTTGGTTCCCTTGGTCTTTGGTGCTCCCAAGCCAATCCCATCCAGACAGTTTTTGTAGAACCATGAAGTCACAGGACTGCGATTGGGCCACCTATCCTGGCTGGCGAATGGTCACGTCTGGAACCCAGGTTTGCCACCCTGTGATTCCCAGCAGATCAGCTCCGACGTACCCTTCCCCACGAGAGGCCTGATGGCGACTTCGAGTTCAAAGTTGGTCCAGCGCTAAGTGATAAGTCCCAGGGAAGAGATGCAAAATGGCGCACTTATCTGGTTGTGACCAGGAACTACGGGCATGTCTTACCATACTTGTATCGGCGCCAAAACCCGAAGCAAGCAAGGAGACGAGGCCCATTGGGAGGACATCGTGGCCCGCTTCGGCACTCGGAAAGCTGTGGAGGTGCGCCGCGCGCCCTATGCCCCTCTTTGCTCTGTACGGTTGGCACCCAAAGTGCAGCAGTATGCAGCGGTAGTTCGATAAAACGGATCATCGTGGGCTGTTAGGAGCATGGAATCGAGCACTTGATCCCTGATGCCACAAGGGCCACAAGCACTCAGAGGTTTTTCCCCACTTGTCAAGTCCTGCTACGGTGCAGCTGGGCCATGCTGGGCCCCAATCCTCGCGTTGCCATGCAAGGCCCTCAAGGCCATGCGAAGCACCTGAAGCAGCTCCTGGCGATGGCACTGATGGCTCTTGCTGCTATCAGCTGTTTTCCTGCGCTGGGCCCTGCGTACTGCTTCTACCTCCTTCTGTCTGCAAGTTCTTCAAGAACTTACACTGGAATTGCCAAAGATTTCGCACGGCGTCTGGCGCAGCACAATGGCAAACTCAAGGGTGGAGCAGCCTCAACTCGAATCGGACGACCCTGGCGGCTTGTTTTCTTGGCAGAGGGTTTTGCAGGCAGAAGTGAGGCACAGCAGTTCGAATATTCTGCTCGGCGCTCACCAACTGGCAGCGCCGTGGTCGGATTCCAGCGTCGCTGTGACAACCTCCGCCGCTTGTTGACCTCACAGCGATGGATACACTCCCGGCTAAAGATCTCATGGTACCCAACTGTCCCATGCGCATGACAGCAGACAAGCGTCCCGGTCACCCAGTGGCTCCGAACACGTCAGCATTTCCACGCTAGACTCCGCTACGACCCATGCGATCAAGGTTGCCAAAGAAGCACCAGATGAGCAACTCGCAGGCTCAAAGAGGCCTTATCGTTCTGATATCGGGATTCCTGCGGAGTGGTTCGTCCAGCTATGCCGGTGCCAAAAATCGCCGTATGCTGCAGCTCCATGCACATCTCCGGCGACGCAGCGCTTACATGCGCTTCAGCTGCCTGAAGGTTCTGAGTTGGCGACGAAAATTGTCAGCCGGCGGCGAAAAAGCGTGAAAAGGTCGACGATCGCACTGGCGGTGATTCTAAAGATGGAGCGCGTTTGTCACGGCATGAATCGCATGTCTGCGGGCCAGGAATGGAGGGCTCTCATGGCCATCACCAAGCCTTTGGGCGAGATCTCCAAGAGCATTCCCGCTGCAGCTTTGCGTGGAGATTTGGGGGCCGCGAGGGGCCCAACTTGGTTTCCCAAAGACCGGATGCGGACGGACCTCCGTCACATGCTCACCGCATGCTTAGGTGCAGACGCCCTGTCCTCGAGCTTAGTGTCACATGTGCCCTTGAATTGAAGCAAAAGGGCATCAGAAGTATTCAGAAGTGCAATGGTCGTTGGTAGTTGATAGCTGCTTGTGCCAAGGCTTCAGCGCTTCTTCCCCCGACTACCTGCTTTGCTTCTGAACGGCCCCAAGTTTCAGGTAAGAGGCTGCAGAATCTGTGCCCAATTGAGAGCTGATTGCCCAATGCAGCGATGCAAAGCGATTCAAGAATACGCAGGCTCCCTTTTCGGATTTGCTCCGCGATGCAGGCACGCGAAGATGACGGGACCTTTGAACTCGCCCAAATGCGTGCGCATCGTTGAGAAGGTGTTCAGGATACCTTCCTGAAGAAGTGGATGGATTACATCTGCTTCGTTCTGCAGGCAGTCGGCGATCGCCGCCAAATAGCTGAGTTTAAAGCTGCAGTTGAGAATGCAAAGTTTATCGAAGCTGGTTCCCATGGCCGGCCATGATACGCAATGCATTCATGCGCACCTCAAACACCCGAAGAGGGGCGGGGAAGGCGGATCAGGGCGCGAATCTTGCGCTTGCTGTTGTTGACCCTGTATTTGGTAGCGTTGTCCTATGCTGCTGGTGGAATGGCCAGGCGGCACGTGTGGATCGCGTGAGAATTGTCAACCTTCCCCCCTCCCCCCTTCGCCATCGCCACCAACCGAAAGGGCCGGCGCACATGTCCTGCTGCATGTCCTATACCCTTGATGTGTCGGTCTGCAAGTTTCAAAGAGAGGAGGCAAATGAACACCAACACAAAAAGACCCAGAACAAGCAACCAAGAATGCAAAAGTCAGGCATGAACCCAGAAACAAAAATTTCAATCCCACCGTAGGGCCGTAGGGGCGTCCGAAGGCGATGAAGGAATCCCGCCATGCGGAGCGCCCACCAAGAGAACCCTGGTGAGTATCATCCCGAGCACGGGAGAATTCCGCAGGGCAGGAAGCAGAAGACCTTGCCAATCCCAGATGATCTCTACACTTCCCCTCAAACAGCTTAGTTTTTGGGAGGGGGTGTTCGAAGTCAATAGCCTTTGTTCCCCACCCTCGGCGTGTGGTTTCCGCCCCTCCATTCCCCTTCGCCGCGGCCCCTTTCGAAGAACAACAATTTTTCGAAGATGAAAACGATGAGGGAAATCGGAAGGAAAGTGTTGGAGAAGATTTGTTGAAGGTTTTTTGAAGATGAAAACGATGAGGGAAGTTTTATCATAGCCCAGTGCGTGGCTCTCAGAATCTCGGAAGGCTACGTGCTGCGAGCACATATTGCAGACTCCAAATGTTTTTCACTTGGAGCCCCCTCTGAACGAGAAGCGTGTGTTTTTCATTGTGGTGGTGGCGGCGGAGGGTGGCGCCTGGAGGTAATCTAAGTCTCTCTGCATGCTACTGTGTGTTGCTAGAGAAAACAGCTGCTCGTGTCCGCTGACCTGACTTGAGCAAGCTGTGCAGGCTCTGCCCGCCGACACGCATCCCAGTGCTCCAGTGGCATACATGATTTCGGACATGTATGAGCCCGCCGCCTCGGGTATTGTCCAGAACAGGTCAGAATGGCAGGACCTGATTGTTTAGCGTAAAGTAGTGCAGAGAGGCCGGGTGCGTTCCTGGACTACCCAAGGGGTGGTATGGGGGCCGGAAGCTCAACGTCTACAATGTGCACTCGGGAATGCTTCACCTATCACAGTGCATGAACCTTTGCTCACGTTCTGTGAACCCGAATATCCCGAACTATCCCGACTGTCCACTTCCGTGCTTCAATGCGACAGGCGCTGATCAGTGCTTTAGAGCGTGGCGTGACAAAGCATCGTGGGCGGATTCGCACGGGCCTTGGACTCGCTTGGGTGCTTTGTGTGGTAGCATGGATGCGGGGGATTGTCCACACATCTGATGCCAGGCTACAATGCTCATGTTGAAGAGATAGTGGCAGCACGGGGCAAGGCGACCATGCATCGGGACCCGCAGAGATCCAGTCGAACAAATGTCATGAAACGTCTTGCCGTGCACGTTTGGGAGCGCCAGTTTCCAGACTGCGTGTGCCCCCTTGTACATGGCAATTGTAAGTAGTGGTTATCCTGACACAGTGCCAGCCTGCAGAATTCACAGGATTCAGAGGTCTCCTTGGGGCATTGATTCGGCGTGCAAGCATGTCACTCTCTTCTGACAGTGCAAAACCTTCGCCGCCCAGAATGAAAGGAAGCCCAAGAATTATAGTTTGTTTATTCAAGCCATTACTCAGGATTGCCGAGTCGTAGTAGCTGCCCTGAAGAAAAACCACAACATTAGGCCGTGCCGCTGCGTCAGCCCTGCCGCAGGCGAAGGGTGTCCGTCTGCGAAGTGGCGAGCCAGTTCCTAAGGACACAGCGCAGACTCAGGGACAGAACGTGGACAAGACTATCGAAGACCAGCTTCTTCATGTCGTTGCCACCCGAAAACTCTGAGGCGGATCTTGGCAAGAGAGGTGCTTAGAACTCCTTGAGCTCCAGTTTCAGAGACGAAGCCCTTCGCGCATCGCCCTCCTTTGCCAGGCCGTAATCAGCAACGCGAGTGTTTGGGATACGGCCAAGCTGCTGCCAGCCGGGCCCCCAGAGTAAGAGCCTTCACCGGAAGGCTTTGGTGGCTTGTAGTGATTGCAATGGATGGCAATGGTGAGTCAAGGATGTCAAGAATCAATGATGTCAGGAAGCGGATAGATCAGCGCCGCATCATGTCCAAGTCTCATGGTCAAAGCGCAAGCGTTGCCAAGGAAGGCACGCGCTGGCCTATGCCAAAGCCTGTCGAGTACCCAGCCTCAGCCACCAAAAAGTTATTTCAAGTTCGGTGAGGCTGACCGAAGGCTCAAGTGGGAAGCTTTTGTTCTGTTTGCAGCTGGCGAACCCCAGATCAGTTTGCAAGCTCTTGTCGCTGCTGGGGCGGAGACGGAGAACTGAGGTGTGGCTCCTTTATGCACTTGCACCTGGGCTTGAATGCCAAGGCCGTTGCGAATCTCAATGTCCCTCACTTGACTCATCTTGACTCTGTTCGCCATGTGTCCGAACCTCGAGCTTCGTTGCGGATCCAGATGGCCCCAGGGGCTGCCCAATGACATGCCCCTACACTACAGCGTGATCCGTGACTGGAAGGACAGTGTTGTCGCCCAGTTGGGCAAAAGCTTGGCTCTGATGCGCTGATCCAGGAGCCCATAGATGCGACTGGGAATGTCGTCATCATCAGCGTTCCAAGTGCCGGGTGCTCTGCACACCTTGCGCAAGTGGAACGCGTCTGTCTTGTCTGTGCATACAGCCTTCATCCACAGCCCCTCAGGGCAAAATGCGAACCTTTGGACCGTCAAACTATATAGCTCCCATTGTTGAGCGCAGGTCGTCAATCCAAGTCTCGCCCCTGCCGGGAGACATTGCTGGGCGCCCGACGGCAGAAATCTCCAAGCTTGCCAGGTCTTTGTCCAGCGAGGTGCTGGGCGATGCTTCAAGACGCAATGACGGGCAATGCACCTGATGCTACACTAGCGATGTCAAGTCGAAACCCGAGTTCAGATCGGTTGCCAAGGTCTCCACGCATACCTAGCTGCAACCGAGCCTTACGAGCCTTGGGCTTTGGCCAATGCTTGTGCAAACTCGTTCGTCCGTTGCGATACTGCAGAGAAAACATCACCTCTGACTCTGTTGCTGCTTTTTCAGGCTGTGGCAAGGCATGAAGCGCGGTAGTTCCGAGTGGGCTCCTCAGCTCGCGAAGAATCTTTTGCAAGCATGTGCATTCTGCGCATTCAACTGTTGGATCCTGACCCAGAGGATGTTCCAAAGCATTTGAAACAAACCACAAGCGATCTACGGGCGTCGCCTCCCTGAAAACTCCAAGGTATGAAGCCTTCAAGCGCGAAAGGGCCGCGCCACTTTTCGAAGCTGTCGAAAAGGCAGTGCCCCACCCCTAGTCCGCACTGCCAGTTCACACAGTTAGCATGTTGCGCGATGCTGTCGGCATGTGTCGGTCGCAGTGTAGATATTCCTCTGAGGCCCGGGGCCTGCGAGAACATCGCGTCTTGCCTGCATCTTCCTTTTGCAAATAAACGAGGCTCTGTTGGAGACTCGTCTCCTATAGCTTTATAAGCACGCAATGCTTCGTTTTGAAGCTCGCTTTTCGAAAGGTCTGTGCGTGACCTTCATGCTCATGGAGATGTAAACATTCTGTTTGTGAGTATTTGGGAATCTTTCAGCATGCTTATCAGACATTGGAAGTGAACTGAGCGCATCACCCGCCGTCCTCTCAAGTTAGGGAAGGGGGAGTGTGGTCGCACCGGGTCTGAAAAGTTCTTTCTTCGTGTGATGCGTGTTCTTAGAGGCCCTGTGGGCACATGGATCTGTCCCAACTTGTGGCTGTGCCATCAAAGAAGAAAAGAGCGCTTGAATCCTCAAGCAACTATGACTTAAGGGTGTGCAGAGCTGCTTGTGGCATGTTCAAGGCTATCAACGGCGGTAGGCAGGCAGGTGCTGGAGGGCAGGGGCCCGGACACAGGATCCACCACAAAACGGGTGCAGCCGAGCCATATTTCAGACCCGAATTTCGTCTTGTGCTCAGCCAGAAAAAATCAACACACACATGGTTTAATGTCGAGGAATCTACCCACATGCATGAAAAAAACTAGCAACCACACATATTTTGCATTCATGCATGCATATGCTTGTCTGCCGAAAACTTGAAGTGTATACATTCTGTGTGTATGGGTATGCACTTTTTGTCGTGCAACTTTGACATGCGAACACGTTTTTGTTTTATGCGAACACATTTTTTGTTTTATGTGCATCATGCCCATGACGTCATGATGGCCTCGATGCTGTCGTTCGATTACTACACTCATTTTCTGCGCACGGCACGTCACACAGTCACACACAACTTTTTGCGAATGTTGCATCGTAGCTCTGCGATTCAGTTTTGTTGATCCCCAGCATATATTTTTAACAATCGACATCGTTGCTGTTAGTGTCGGCATGCTGCTGCTTCACGCATTGTCCGAGATGTCATGCACGATCACGCATGAATCATGAATGCTGTCGTCATGTTCACGGACCACGGAGCTTCACACGACCACGTTTCACAGCTCATGTTGGTTGGTCTGCTTGTAGGCTGAGGAGGCATATGAAATCACGTCACGCATCACGAGCCTTCGTTCACCAGCCATAGAGGCACGGCGGGGGCTGTAGATTAGATTGCAAGCAGAAGCTACTAGAATTACTAGAAGCTACAACATCAAGACGGTAACAAAAGAACCCAAGAGCTTTGGCAGTTCGTCCCGTCCCAGTGCAAGGAGCTGGAACTCATCGGCTCCCCACTGACCCATGCCAGGTTCAATCGAAGGCCAGTTCCTTCACCCGCAGGTTATAGGGCATTGTAGGGCCCTAGTGTAGAGCTAGTAGGCGTGCTTTTTCTGCCGTGCACAGGCATCGAGGCACCTACGGCCCGTTCATGCCCTCGAGTGCTGAAACCTCGGCCTTCACTCCGCGTTTGCTCGATGTTGCGAGCGCCAGCAAACACGACAGGAATCTGGTTGAAGTTTTTCATTGCTGTGGATTGAGGCTGGCATGCTGCCGGGGCCGTGGCTGCCTCAACATCGCAGTAGGTGCAAGCATCTCCGTTTCATCCTTTTTGCGTGCGTTTGATCGCCTTCCTCAACATGAGAAATTCTTTGCCTTTACCAACCTAAGGTCCACGCCGGTTGATGGTTTGCTGTGCTGCCGCTACCTTACAGTCCTGGCTGTACTACGCTTCGTGCATCTTCGTGCGCTGTCCTGCATTCTACGATGTCTTGAGGTGGGGACAGCACCTTTCCCGGAATCGGGGTTCCCGTCCACCCCTTGAGCTTTGTAGCATGGTGTTGAGTGTGCAGCGAGCACGGGCATTCTTAGGACTTCCTTCATGAAGATAGCATTGTTCAAGACAGGGTGTCTCGCATCAGGCAGGCAGACTTCGTTTCGAGTGCTGATGGCTTTAGATGCGGTTCCAAGTTGGCGAGGAAAACTTGCTGAAAAGCTCAACTGACTGAAGTCCACCAAGCTGCTGGCACGCTGCCATAGCTCGCTCGATCCACATTCGGCTTATCACAGCGTCTTCCCACCATACTGCGCACGACCACCCATTCAATAATGTCGTCATCCAGAGTTCCTGACCTTTTTTGGACGGAGTCTTTTTTTAGCGTGTCAGCGTCATCTCCAAAAGGCTTTAAAGCGCATGCGGAACATGTTGGCGGAAGCCTTGCATGATGGGTGGCGCAAGCTTTTCTTGACTTAAGGGATGAACAATAACCACGAAATGGGATGTTGGGCGCAGAAAGCCCCGCAACCTGAACCACCAAACTTGGGCAGGAAAAAAGAAGCCTGAAAGAGGGGCAAGCGAATCGTGACTGTCGATGCGCCCTTCAATCCGGTTCACGTAATGGAAACCTTCTCCATGACATGGCTTGAATGCCCTTGGCAGCGTATGTGGCAGAGCTTGTGCTTGGACGATGAGTCCTGAGGATACGCTTGTGTTGTTTCATGGGAGCGTCATGGAGGGGCTTAACGGCTGCCTTGAGGGCTGGTCTGCCGCGGCTCGTGCTCATCCCAAACAATGCTACTATCCGGGCCACTGTGCATTGCTGAATTTGAGGCTGCGGTCGCCAGCAGCCACCTGAGCGATGTGAGTTGTGTTGGCATGCCTTGCATCATAGGGTTTGACGAAGACATGCCAGATTCAAGGGAGGGGGCTCATGCTCCGTAGAACGACTGAGGTGGCTGCGCGGCTGCGAACGTGCTGCTGTCTGCTTGGAACCTACCGGGCTCGGTTCGCATCAACTCTCGAGACCATAAGCAGGCAGGTAGACAAGGCTCAAGGTGCTCAATGTGCAGAAGTCTCTGTTTTGTCAGATCCATCTGGAACTTGTAACCACCCCCATGCATCTTGCCCTAGGTGGAGGAGCACCTGGAGGCGACGTTACTCGAAGCTCCAAAAAATCTCCGAGAGCACTTTCCAATAGCCTTTGCTGATCCCGTGGTGGCATGCTGGTGTGCGTACGCACGACTATGCTTGCGATGGGGCACTGCTGGACCCAGGCGCTGAATGCCATGCAAATACCTTAGTTGAGAGCCTTCAGACGTGATGCCAGGCCCCAAGCCACCACTTCGCTTGAGTTCCCTTCTGCGGCTAGGCAGCTCTCTCCGAGCTAGGACCGTATCTCCAGCCACCATCCTGGCAGCTCCGAGGTTGTTCCAGGTCCTGAGAAGCGCCGGTCCCGAAGTCTCGGAGCTTTTCATGTCGCCCAGCGGCTCATGCGCGACCAAAAAAGCACATCGAAGCTTTGCACAGGTTTGCTGTGTCAGCATAGCGTCCAGCTTCACGAAGCTGGACCACAAGCCACAAGACGTGCCATTGGAGCCTACCTGCCCCAACGTTGGTCATTCCCAACTGTGGAAAGCGTGGGTAGAAGTACATTAGTACATCCTGCAGATGCCTTGACAGAGGGCTCACAAGGTCCGTAGCGGTGAGTTCGGAGCCGGTCTCTCAAGTCACTTGACTTCACAGTGATATTGGTGCTCCATGCTTTCGTGCACTGTACAGAATTCCAGGCAGATGCATCGGTGATTGTTCTGTGCTTGTTTGAACTTCCTTGTGCTGTTCCAAGGACATGGCGATGTTTCAGGTGCCCACCAGGCCAGCGGGTCATGTCCACGTGGAGTTCAAAGCTGGACGTATGGATTGGGATGGTAGGATGGTGACGGCAGATAAGCGAAAGGGCAAGATTCTGCTCTACACCTCCGAAGATGACCAGCTGACGCATTTCCAATGGATGGATCGAGACAAGAATGAAGTAGTCACGGATTTGATCGTCATCAATGATGCGTACATGGAGAGGATCCAGAAGTGCACAACAGGCCGAGTGTACATCCTTCGCTTCACTTCCTCGGACAAGAAGATGTTCTTTTGGATGCAAGAGCCAAGCGAGGAGAAAGATGAGGACAACATCAAGAAGTTCAATGAGGCCATTGGCGCTACAATCCCAGACAAGAGTGAGAAGAAGCCAGAAGAGGCTGCTGCGCCCGCGGCACCGGCAGAAGCAACCTCTGGCGCTGATCCCAGCAGTAGCCCCGGCGGTGACAGTGGCGACCCCAGCAGTGGCGGCGCTGCTGCCCCTGGACCCGCCTAATATCAAAGAATGCCCTTTGCACAGACGCGCCTGAAGTGCAAAAGTGTTGACCGAGTTGCTTTTAGTATGCATGCTTGACTTGCTGTTACCCTTAGCCTTAGACACGGGGCCGTTCCTTCACCGTCCAAGGCAGCTTTGCTCGCATTGCGCATCATCTAGGGCACATGCTCCAAGACCGGATGCAAAAAGGGCACACGCCTCCGAGGGTCTTGTGCTCCCCTGGCCATGCTATCCAGTTCCATCTTAGTTAGGACATGGATGTGGGCGGCTGGAAGGAAGACAAAGCACAAGGAGCATACAAGGATAGCATTTCTCTCCCTCTGCCGTCTGGATGGAGGTCCGTGTGAACGGCCTTGCAGGGCAGCTATCCTGTTTGCGCGGAGAGCGTGATTGGTGCGCTGCCGACGTAAAGCGCGCACTGCAGGCTGTGAGGGCTTCAGGGGTGGACAGTGAGAGATGAAATGCATCAAAAACATGTATGCGAGCGACGATGACATACGATGACTGAAGCGACTGCATGCTCGCAGGTAACCCTGGGAGCTCGGTCCTCAGCACTGACATGTGAGCATCATGGAACCAAGCAGGGCGTCAGCAGAAACCAGAGCTGATTGTGGCGAAGAGTGGGGTATGAGGAAGTGAACAGCTAGTGTGAAAAGACCGCACCATCAACTGGCAGGTTCATGCAGATGAGCAAAGGCATGGGCATGCTCAACACATGTCGCTGTGAGAAGGTCGTCGTGTGGGTTATAGTTACCATGCACTCTCTGTTCGATACAAAAGCCCCGGAAGGCTCATACTGGGCTGCCGCGAACTTCAGGATCACGACCTGTTGCAAGTACCAGATTCTGGGGATAGCGTGCGTGACATCGAGCTAACCTTGGTTCGAAGATCAGCAGCACACGCGGAGCTACTGCGTCTTGTTCGTGGAGGGACTCAGACCCTCAGCCGAAAATGGCTTGCGCGAATGCCCGAAGTTGTCCGTGGAGATTCTGAGATCGTTCGAGAGGTGTTGCGCAGGGACGGTGTGGCACTGGAACATGCCACACAAGAGCTGAAAGCAAATCCCGAGATGGTCTTGGAGGCCGTGCGCCGCAGTGGCTTCGCACTGGAGTATGCTGCGGCTCAGCTCAGGGAGGACCGCGACTTCGTTCTGAGGGCCGTTCGGGTCAACGGCTTCGCGCTCGCCCGGGCATCGGCCACTTTACAGGCTGATCAGGACATCGTTCTGGCAGCGATTGGGGAGGAGGGTGCAGCCTTTGAGTACGCTGCGGATGAGCTGAAGAGTGATGCCGACTTTGCTTTGGATGTGGTTGCTACGGGGAGCACCGGGGTGCTGGAGCACATTGATCCGGAGCTTTGGGAGGATCCACGCTTCGTACTGGAAGCAGTTAAGCGACTGCCAGCGGCCTTGGAACATGCACAAGAGATCCGCTGCGAGCCCACCTTCGTCCTCGAGGCAGTCTGCCAGAGGCCCGAGGCGCTTCCCTTTGCAGCACCGGAGTTGCTCGAGGATCCCGCCTTTCTCCTGAGGGCGATCACGCGGAATCCGGCTGCTTTCGCTTTTGTGGGAGAACTGTCCTCGGAGCCCGCCTTCGTCCTCACTGCACTGAGATGCAATGGCGAGGCCCTGCGCTTCGTTTCGCCGAGCACGCTACTGAAAGATACGCGCTTCGCACACCAAGCCTTGAATGCTGCTGGGGCCAAGGCCCTTAGAGGCATGCCAGACACTTTTTGGCAGGACAAGGATCTTGCCCTGGCTGCCTTGCACTCCGATGAGGCCTCTGTTCAGAGGGTCCCTAAAAAGTTCTGGACAGACCGTGACTTTGTGCTAAAAGCCGTCCGCTGGCAACCGTCGATACTCAATATGATTGAGCCGAACCTGCTGAAAGACAGAGCCTTCATTCTAGCAGCTGTGCAACGCAACTCCACGTGCATACGCTACGTGTCGGAAGAACTGCTGAGGGATCGGGGCTTTGTCCTGGAAGCAGTCGAAGTCCACGGGTCAGTGTTGAAGCATCTCCCCCACGACATGCGCACTGACCGGGCTCTTATTCTGGCCGCCATCCGGAAGACCGGTTTTGTGCTTGGATTTGCAGATGACGAGCTGCGCTCTGACAAAAGTTTTGTGTTGGAAGCTGTCAAAGAAAACGGCTACTGCTTGATTGGCGCGCCCGATTCAATGAGGCAAGATCGTGACGTTGTTCTGGCGGCTGTTCGACAGCAGGGGCAGGCACTGGAGTTCGCCACATCCGAGCTTTGCGCAGACGCGGACATCGTCCTCGCGGCCGTTGAAACCTGCCCAGGTCCGCTTGTGCATGTGGAGAAACGGCTTTGGTCTGACCGAGACTTCGTATTAAGGGCGGCAAAGCGGCATGGATGTGCGCTCAAGCATGCAGATGACTCGCTGCGGCGGAGTCGTACGTTTGTGCTTGCTGCCTTTGAGCTCAATCCGGAATGTTTGTGCTATGCACATGAAGAACTCCAGTCAGACCGGGGCTTCATGATTGAATGCCTGATGCTGAATCCGAATGCGTTACCCTTTGTTCCTGCCACAATGCGTATAGACGTTTCCTTTGCTGCCGCGGCTGCCGCGACCAACGCACCAGTTCAGTCCGAGGCTTTGCCTTTGGATTGCCCCTCCCCATCCTGGTAGTATGAGTTTGAAGAAAATGGGCAGCCGAGCAGGTGAAAAGAACAGAAGAGATAGCAGTCGTAGTACTAAGTGCATGCGGGTTTGCAAGGAGATCAAGCGTTTTAAGCAACCGATAGAGTTACTGGGCGTATCTTTGTGAACTGAATCAGGCACACCCATTTCTCCGATAGTGCAATCATCCATCCCGACAATGTGAACGAGTTTAAGTCTCTAATGTGCTGGCGCGGCCTTGGCATTCTACATTTTTCGAGTTCTCGTCTTCAAGAGACTCCCATGGACAATCTTCTTCAAGAATGCAAGATTTTAGATGAAACATCTTCACGAGATTGATAACATTTAGCAGAAGTTGTCAGGATGAAACACGAAGGAAACCCTGTCCCTTCGGGCGGGATTAACAACCTCCGAAATATGATCTTCGAGGCCTTATTCTTCCTTCGGGTTCCCGGTTCCCGGAAAAAGCCGTGATGCAAGTGGTTGGTCGTCCATATTCGGTCTGTCCCCTGCTTCATGAATCCCCCCTACGCCTGCACTTCACAAAGATGTGCTACGGAAGGCCGCATCAGCGACGTGTAGGGCCCTGCAGGATCATTCTTAGTCTGTGACCTCCCAAGAAGCTATGGCCATGGCAAGTCCCAGAGAAGTTGAGCCAGAACTCCTCGACAGCAATGGAAATCCTGCCGTTGCTCACTTGGCCGGCACCCTGGCCAGCATGGAGCCTGTCGAAAGAGACATCCTCAGAGCAACTCCGGCGTGGCAAGTGCTGCAATTCTTTGGTGCTGGGTTGGTGTGGACCAACCAGGATCTGTATGAACGGAGCTTTCCAGTGGATTCGATTCAAGTTTTCTGGAGCCACAGCTGGCATGGCAACAGCTACATCAAGAGGCTACTGTTGCTTTTGCTCTACAACGGGCCTCCGGCAGCAATTGCTGCCACCATCTCAGCCCTCTTCATGATGTGGTTGCAGATTGCCGGAGTCCTTCCAGGCTTCTCACAAATGAGCAGGATGGCAATGGAGCAAGGGCAAGAAACGATGCTGGTGCGTGCCCCGTGGTCTGCCCTGACAGCAGGGTTAGTCTTCGTGGTCGTGCTTCTACTCTGGAAACCGAGGACTTTGGTCTTCGTTGACCGAGTATGTATCAATCAGAACGATAAGGCGCAGAAATGCAAGGGAATTCTGAGCATTGGCGCATTCCTGAAGTGCTCCGAGCAGTTTCTGCTTGTTTGGGACAGCACTTACGCTGGCTGGTCAATGGAGCCCCTCCACGTGGGCCCAGCGGGGCGGCCGTCCTCAGTGGCCGCAGCGAAGACTCCTACTCGTGGTTTGGTGAGCGTTGCCTTGCGCAGTCTGTCACCAGTGTTGCAGCGCAGGTTTGATCCTTTCCGAGCCACAAGAGTGGGGGAAGCTACGAATCCAGGTCCGGCAGGTCTGAGAAGGACACGCCGCAAGGCCAAAGCCAAGGATATCAACATTGGCCAGCTGCTGGGTCTTCTCCAGCAGTTGCTCAAGATGCTTGGAGGCAATGGAGCCCAGCTTGCACAGCTGGCGCAGCTTGCCAAGCTACTGCATCCAGGTACTGCCGAGGTAAGGTCTGAGGTCACTGCCCCGCCTGCACCTGCACCCCGTAAGGTTACCCTAGGTAGTCCCCAGGTTGAACCTGCGCCAGTCCCAGCTGCACCTACGCCTGGCCCTGAGTGGCAGGAGGTGCGCCGCCGCAAGCAAAAGCCTGCAGCCCAGCAGGGTGACCCTGCGCGTGCCTCAGGCGAGCCGCCTGCTCCTGAGCCCTCCCCTTCTGCGAAGCCCAGTCCGCCTAAGCCCGCCCCGGCGGCTGCACTGCGCTTACGACCCCAGGATTGGGATAGTGAGATTTTGTCTCTTGCTCAACTTTATGCCAAGCTTGACGCCAAGACCGACGCAGTCAAGGCGGTGGTACTGGCCACCACGCAGGAGCAGCTTGAAGAGCTGTGTACGGCTGTAGCTGCACATGCGAATCTCCGAGTTGCAGTTATGGCAGTAACCTTTGGGGACTGGAAGTGGACACGCCATGCTGCCGAGCAGGCCGACCACACATCGGTGAACCTTCAAGCCCTTATGGGCACCGCAACCGTGACGCGCAAGGCCCGTCTCCACCAGCTGGGTGCCCAGAACTGCCCCAAACTGAAGCAGATCACCCGCAAGGCTACTGGAGTCGCCAAACCAGCAACAACCGAAGTGCTTCGTTTCATCACTGATGCACGCTTTGTGTCAGCCCAAGCCTGGGCGGAGCTTCGCACCAAGCCTGCGCATTCCATTCGTGCCTGGGCGGCTGCCCACATCCCCACTGACGTTCTGGCAGTAAAGGATATGTGGGGGTTTAAGGTTGCAGGGGATGTTGAGTCCCCGCGCGCTGTGCTGTCTGGCCTTGTTCGGGTCCAGGCTGACAAGGTCCCAATGCTTTTGGCTTTAAGTGGTCGGGATAGGTGGTTTGTCTCGAAGCCTGGTTCTAAGGATGCCGTCAGTTGGATCAAGCGTGGTACTGATGAGCTGCATCAGGACTATCTTGATAGGGTTTATGCCCAGTGCAAAGGCAGGGGGGTAGCACGCGGTGATACCAGCCTTGGCGTTCGCTTGACTGCTGAGGAGGCTGCCAGCCGAGGCACGGTAGAGCCCATACGCACCTACAAAGTTTGGCCTGTGCCACGAGACTGGTCTCAGGAGACGCTTGAACATGAGTTAGAGCAGTTCAAAATGCAGAACCTCACGTTCTTGGCGCGCCACCCCTGCAAAGGCGGTGTCAAGTTCTTGTACCGGGCCAAGGCGGCCGATGTCGACCTCGCTGTAATTGAGCATGATAAAGGAGCCATACAGGTAGTCATGCAGCACCATGCCCCCCGCCGGGGCAACCCTGTGCCCATCAAGGCAGGACGCGGTGCGTTCACTGCGCCCCCCGTCCAACACAAGCCCATCCCTGCCCCAGTGCCTCCTCCTGCGGAAGCCTCGCAGTCTGCTGCCCCGGCTGAGGGCCATGAGCGTCCTGCGGCCCAGCCCGCACCTGCCAAAAGGCTTGCTGTGGGGGCCCCTGCGCCCCGTGTCCATGCGCTCCCAGAAGGTCTGACTCGCGTGTCAAATCCTGGACAAGGGGATTGCCTCTTCTATGCCCTGGAAAAGGCGACTGGTACCAACAAGCTTGCGCTGCGCTCTGCTATTTGTGCCCACCTTCGCAGGCATGAGCTTCGATACCGAGCCTGCTGGAACTGCTTGGCTCCCACGAAGGAAGATACTCCGTTGACTGACTTCCAGGAGTACTTGGATGCGTTGGCTAAGCCTGGAGCATGGACCTCGCTGCTGGAGGTACATGCTGCTGCTAGGCATTTGGATAGACCTGTCCTCATCTTCTCAGATGTCATGCCCCTGCAGGTTTGCAACCGCTCGGGCAAAGCTGGACAGCCCATCATGCTCTGGTACCAATCTGCGCACTATGAGCTGGTGGAGGGAACCGTTCCCCCTGATGCGCTGGCAACTGCCATCGATGCCCAAAAGAGTGGTTGCAAGGGTGGCTCTGCCGGCCCTGACAAAGCCTCTGACTGTGGCTTCACCCGTGCCTCAGCCTTTTCAGGCTTGACACGCTGGACTGCCCCTGCGAAAGGCCAGCTTTCTTTGCACCAGTCTTTTGCCCGGGCCACTGCCTCTTCGTGTGCGACGCCTGTCCCTGCTCTCAGCCAGGACTCGGCCTCAGCTGTCACCGGCTTGCTTCATGTAACTGTCTCAGCTAACCCGCCAAAGCCAAGTGATGTGGCCAACCTCGCTGACCTTGACGACTGCATTGAACCCGAACCATCGGTCGATGCTCCGGTGCAAGGTTGTGCGTACTGAGTGGACTTGCCCCATCTGCCAATGGTGCACTGGCCACCGCGTGTACTGGTCCCAGGCCAAAAGCGACCACATCGCCCGATGGCATCCTCACCTGCATAAGGTTCTGCGTTGCATTGCCCAACGTCGCAACCCTGCTTTCATTGGCCCTCTGCAGCCTGATCGCCACAATGCTGTGCGGCGACGAGCTGCCAAAGTCAGGAGCAGCGCGGCTGTGAGCCGACACATGCAGGCCGTCAAGGCCTACGATGGTTCCCATGAAATTGCCCGTTTGCGCATCCCTAAGCCACCCCAAGCCACTCACACCAAGACTGGCAAACGCATCAAGCCGCGTGTGCTCCACCCTCCTGCTGTCGTGTGTGTCAAGTGCACCCGCAAAGCTGCCACTGTTCAGGCCTTAGCTGCGCTGCCCTGCCTGAGCCAGGGTGTTGGGGGCCCAAAACGGGCCCAGCTCCTTGCACGTATGCTTGCTCTCGTTGAGGATGACGCTGTTCCGGTGGAGGATCGTGAGCAGGCCGCTACTGTCTTCCGTGTCTTGTCTCCGCCACAAGCTGCCCCTGTCCGCCCTCATTCCCTTCGACGCTACGTCTGGCCGCTGGGGCCAGGACCTGCTGCCTTCTGTGTCGTGTGTCTGCGTGTCGCTCGCAAGGCGAGTTACCTGAAGAACACGAGTTGCCCTGGCCATGTGGTTTGGAGTGCGCGCCGCCACTCTGCTTGTGCTGCTTTGCGTGCTGCCCTTCCGCACCCCCATCCCGGCCGTGATACCCGCATCAGGAACCTGTTGTCCCTGCTCGACCCCGCTGCGCCACCCGCCGTGCCGCCATGACGTCGCCTTCCTCTTGCCTTCGTGTTGGGACGTTAAACGTCCGTAGCCTCAGCTTTAAGCTTGGCTCCGTCCTTGCGTTGGCTCGCACTCACCATTTGCATGCCCTTTGTCTCCAAGAGACTTGCCTTGGTCAGGATGCCTTGCCTGCTGTCAGTCAAGCTGTGTCGCAAGCTGGGTATACCTTTCACGTTGGCGCCCAAACGCTGAACTCGGCTGGTGCTCCTTATGCCGGGGTTTCCTTCCTTACTCGGTGGCCGGCTCAGGCTGTCACGTTGCCGGCTTGGCCTGACGCCGCTGGCCGTGTTGCTGGTCTTCGTGTCTTTCGGCCCCGTGCCCGCCCTTTGCTTCTTGTCGGAGTGTACTTGCATGCCAGCGACGCCTTCGCTGCCGCTTCCTTGCTTGATATGGTTCTCCCTTGGGCTGCCTCTCTGGGTGAAGACTTCTGCGTCACTGGTGATTTCAACCTGCTGAAGTCCCACTGGCCCATGTCCCATGCGTTGGCTGCTGGCCAGCTGTTTGATGCTGATGATGTTGCTGGGGATCCCGCGCAGCTCCCGGGCACTCACCGCAACGCTGAAGGTGTCCTCACAGGGCGTGTCATTGACTTCATGCTCCACTCTGCGTCTGTCACTGTCCGCTCCCGTTCCCAGCACCACAGGCGGTGGCGGACCATGATCTCGTTCACTATGACTTGCCCATCCTTGGGCAGCCCGCTCGGTTGTCTTGGCCCCCTCGCCCTCGCATATCCGCCAATTCTCCTTCGAAGGATGCTTGGTCTTCTGCCTGGCCTGCCTTTCGTGCTCAATTGACACGGCGCTCGATAGTCGTAACGTTGATGCTGCTTGGGCTGCCATCTCTGCCTGCCTTGCTCAAGTGGTGTGCGATAGCGTGCCTGCTGTGGCCCCGGAGCAAGCCACCGCCCCGCGTGTCAATCCGTGCCAACCTCACCGCAAGGCTCCCACTTACCAGTCGCTCTTGGAGCGCCGCCTCCGACGGCTTGCTCGCCGTGCTGCTGAGTTCGCTCGCAATGGGGGGGATCAGGGTTTGTTTGTTGCCATCTCCCGCGATGTTAAGGATTTGTCTCCGACCTTCCCTGAGCTCGCCTCTAATGCGTGGGGTTGCCCCGAGGCCGCCCAGCTTCCTACTTCTTTGGCCAACCAGCAGGCCGAGCGTGATGCTCTTGCTCGTCTCCAGCATTGGAAAGCCACCACTGGTGAGGACATGCATCGTCTGTGTCAGTGGGTCCGGGCCACTGTTCCCACTGAGCCTGCGCACCAGCCTGCCTGCGATACTTGGACTGCGCCGCTGCATCCTCAGCACCAGGCTGAGGAAGCCGCGGAAACCTGGAGGCACATGTGGGCCCCTACCCAGCTTCCTCAACCTGTTGGCTTTCAACAACTTCGCCACCTTGTTGTTCCAACTGAGGAGTACCCGCTTCCCGCTGTGACTGCTGCTTCCTTGTTTGCTCGGTTCCGCGCCTCCATCCGTAAAGCCACTGGGCTGGATGGTTGGGGCGCGGCGGCCTTTGTTTCTGCTGGCCTGCCGGCCTGTGAGGCCCTTGCCCAGCTGTGGGCCCTGTGTCTCCAAACTGCGGAGCTTCCCGCCGCGTGGCGGCGCATCCGCGTTGCTTTATTACC